AAAAAACTTAAAGAACTCACAAGTGTGACAATCTGACAGTGTTCTTGAGATAATTAATATAATTTTAACGTAATAACTAATATATTTGAATTTTACTCAACTATATAAAAAAATGATAAAATTTGGAATAATTAATAAAACATAACCTAATAAGGTTATAAACTTTTACATCCTGTAAAACTGCTCTGTCACGTAGCACGTTTTCAAGAACTGAGGATGTTTTGCTTTCTTCCTCCACGCCTCGTATCTTGGAATTTTGCACGCCACCTGCTGAAATGTCATAACCGATTTCTAAGAAAAATATTATGAAATAATTGGGGATAAAAGGGCTGATTAGCGGACTCTCGAGGAGTTCGTTCAGAATTTCCATAAGGAGTACTCCTCCTCTGCCAGCTTATCCAGGCCTCCCGACTTCACTATAAAGGAAGACATCCAACATGAACAACGAGGTAATATGATTATTGTAAAACTTTCTCTCTCAGTAGAAAAATTAGATCCTAGTCTCGCGATAGGATATAAGTCATGTATTTTTCATATTACTCATCTGTATGTTTATTATTTACTTTTGTTATTGTTAATTCTTATTAAATTGTCGATTGCAATATAAAGAGGAGTTCCCTAGTCTCATTAATCATTACTTATGCACAACCCACACAGAATCTTACCACTCGGGTTCTGAGAAAAATTAGGCCATCCAGTGACAAAGTGAGCAGGTCTAACTGATCTGACGATTAGAGGGCATGGACCCTCGTCCGTATTCTCACACAAGTAGCTCTTGAATTGCGGCATGTTCGCAATCGCGGTATGGGAACCTTAATGATTATTATTGGTTAACGGATAGTGGCTTATAATAATATTTAATAATTGTATGTTATTTATTTTTACCTATATGTATTTTTACGGTTTAATTTTTATATTAATTAGTTGGTACGTTGTCGGTATTTATCTATCTTTAAATTTGAATTTGGTGTTCTCATTTTTATTATTCTAAATTCGAATGTTTCAACCTGAAGATGATTCATAATGTACATCGAAAACGTTAGTTCTTAATAAAACTAACGTTTAACGAATAAGGTGTTAGTTGCTTGATTAATAAATTTTAGTGATTGTTGACAATATATACCTTGTCCAATTTCTGCTAAATAATTTGTCAACTAATATTTTTATTATATATACTAGAATTACAGTCAACCCCTTATAACACTGTTCATTATTCCGTTTTATATGAATTTCAAGATTTACGAGTCACATAGATTTTACAAATACGCGAGCCGTTCACAGCCTGGCACACGTATTTGTAAAATCTAAGTGACTCGTACAACATGGAATTCATATAAACAAAATTATCAACATTGATATATGGTTGTCTACCCTAATTATTTTTTATGAATATTTGTCTTAACGTCAAATATGTAATGTAGCATATAATAGTATTGATGTTTTGACTGTTTTTAATACTTTCATTTATCGTATTTTACAGGTTTATACATTTGGAAGTAAAAAAGACAAAAAATATTACTCTGACAGTTACAAAAATAAATTCACTTCGAAGAATGTAACAAAACATCATCAAAAACTGGCAAAGTGCTCTTCTCTTGACAATTTAAGTATTTTGTAATTTTAATTAGGAACTTCAGGATTAAGACAAAAAAGAATTTCTTACAATTCACTCTGTTCATTGCGAAAGAAGTTTCTCATAGAAAGAATCCTTGAGTGACAATTAAAAAAATAAAACACTGATTTGCTACCATATTTTTATATAACTTTCTTTTTTATCAAGTGCAGTAACGTCTGAAGCTTATTCGCTGTGAACATACACCATGTAAAATATATAGATATAAGGATTTTGAAAAATAATAGTTAAGTAAAATGATATAAAGGAGTTAAATTTACAAAGGCTTGTTTTCGCTAAACAGGAAATACCGTCAAAATGTCTAATTTCTTGCTTTATAAGTTTTAACCGTAATGTATAATAATACAGTAATCCCTCGTTATATCGCGCTCGTCTGGAGACAAAGAAATACAGCGATATAACAAAGTACGAAAAATTCTGGGCATTTACTGAACAAATTATATATGGCATGTGATCTCTTTTCTATTTTTTTCATCAACAAGTCTTTCTGATATAAAATAACCTAAATTATAAAATACTGAATTCATTCCTTTTTATATCGTATTAATTAATTAACATTTACGTGTGCATCGATACCACGAACATCCATTTAGCATTACTGTTTTTACAATTACTTTTAAAAATAAATACTAGGATACAAAAAATTCTCAATTGTGATTTTAATATGTAGTACTATATTTAACAAACAACCACTTATTAAGAATTTTTTAAATTTATATTTTTCAAGAAAACTTATAAATACAGTAATAGAAAATTTTGAATGCAGATGTTGAACACATAATAAAACATTAAACTTATAAAACTACAGAGTAAAAATACTGTAAAAAATATAGATACTGCTATATTATAATATTACAACTTTTCTTTGAAAAATAAAGAAATTGTTTTCTTACACATTACACTAAAATTTCACCCTTTTATATGAATTGAAGGTATTGTGTCGATTCACATATATGTGTAAAATTTCGAATTCAGAGAAACTTGTAAATGATAAGACAGTAGTTAAAAAAAAAAAAAACTTTACACATCAAAATAAGACATTACCGGTAATTGATTCGTCTGCCAGTTTTGCATATTTAGTTTTTACGAATTTATTGTTGCATCTGCTGTAGTAGTTTCAAGAATAATCATAAAAATAAAATACCTTATTTTGTTGCAGTTATTTTTTAATTTATTAATTCGAGTACTTTTAGAATTATCGGGAACAAAATACCCCAATATGTTCTAATCCACAACAAAACGAAATGCTACTGTATTAATAATAAATGCAGTAAAATAATGAAATTACCGAAAAATTAATCAAACCAAACCAAAATTTTAAACTTACATTAGTGATTAGCGGCTTATTCGCCTAAAGACTTAAAAAATTTCAAAGGTCTATAGTATTTAGTTATTTGTCGAAATTATTGAAGCTTACTATTTGTCTATAGTAAGCTAAACACTAAATATAGAAAAGCTGAATTTTTGGAAACACTTAAGAAGTCGGTCCTATTATTTGACAACGAGATGTTTGCGATTAGGGCTATCAGCTCACGCAGCTTCGTTTGAATTGGAGACAATAATGTCTCGCCATCCCCTTGTTCACAATAGGTATCTATTTTGAATAATTTTTTATGAAAAATTGTGAATAACACATTTGGTCACAATGTTCACGCAGTATTTTAAATGTTCTGTCATGTAAACATTTTTTAGTCTATTGAGAAAAATTTAAAGTGAGATGAGAAATTATTCATTGTGACATCGTTACAATGCCAGGCTGCATTTTAATAATTTTTTAAATTAAATTAATTTATGGTATATTTTCTGAACCTTAAATTTTTATTAGTGATTACCTTTGTACAGTACATCATACTTTTTTAAAAACAAAGTTTTGTCGATTCATGTATGAGAGAGTATCTGTGTAATATTCATTATTACTATTAGTATTGTCTATTTTAATTTGCTGTACATGTTATTTTACTCTCAAGTTTTGTATAATATCGGTTGATTTGTGTTGGTCATCTTAACATCTGTTCATACTTCTCCATTGTCATACTGTTTGTACGTTATCTGTCTGTTATTATGTATGTATTTACCTGTGCTTTGACATATCTTTGTATTTAAATCGATTATGCTCTTGCGGTATCGGGAGTAAATAAAGATGAAGAAAAGTAAACGTAAAAACTATTTTACAAAAATGCTTGTTTACGGTTATATATTAAAATGATTATCTGTTTGGTATAAGCTTCTTAACAATTAACTATGAAGTTTTATTAAAGGCATGCTTATCAATTTCAAATTGCCCGCCAGTGTCCGAAAATTTTATTTGTCTGTTTTACACTTGGCAGAGTGTGAAAACATTTGTCAGTGGTGTGAACATTTTCGGGTAAATTGAAGTGTCTGACATTTAAATACAGTCCTATCAAGAGGAATCCTTGTCGGCACAAGTACTTGTGATTCGCTATGACTATTTGAATAATTTAATCTAATCTCTTACTATTGAAAAATTTTGAGTTGAATTCACATAATCAACTGAAATTTAAACTGGCGTGAAATTTGCTTTATATCGTAATTATCGGCTTATAATTACGATAATTTATTTTTAACAGAGAGCGAATTAGCGAGTGTTTTTTCATTTCTATTATTACGAAGTAATATAATATAGTACGAAGTAATTAAATGATAATCATATGATTACAAATAATGAATTCTAAAGTGAGCTGTATAATTAATTTTGGTTTATTTCATACTTTTTGTAAAGTGCACATAATTACAAAATTGTATTTTACAACGAACGAAAGTATGTTTGAATATTTTGAATATACGTTGATTTATGGTTATTGTAATTAACAAATGGTTAATTTTACATACGAAAGATAGTTGTTATTTAAGGTAGGTGAAGTTTATAAATATTTCAAATAAAGTGCTTTATCGAACAAGAGATATTTCTAAATCTATATTGATTTCGTGAAAAATTCTCATGCAATGAAAGTATTTCTATAAAATTTTCGCGATATTTTTACATATATTGAATTTGCACAATAAGATACATTATAAAGTTAGATATTCTAAAGTTGATTATTATATATAATTATTGTTTTGATTAATTACAATATTAAGAATTAGTTAGTATCTATATAATAATAAATCCGAATTTTTCTTACATAATGCGAAATACAATTTTGCGGTGTCTAGAATAAAATTAAGAACGTTCAATTCCTTAATTAATTAACAATTGTTTATTTTATTGAATGTAATTAAAAGATAGAATAAAAAAAGTATATAGTTTTATCTTTTCTGTGTTAAAGTGATTAGTAAAATTATTATAATATTTATATTCTATAATTTTGCATTAATAAAGTCGATTACGAGTAAGAATTTTAATCACTTTAGTTAATATTATTTCAATGATTAAGCAGATTAAAGACACTAGATATCCAATGCCCATAAGTAACAAAGGACTTTTAATATCTTCTATTGACAACGGTTGGAATTCTGATGCTTTTTGGAATTCTTCAACTTTCTGAGGATACAATATCTCAAATATTCCAGCTTCAAACATGTGAGTTATTCTAAAATAAGATCGTTTTGAATATATAAAAATAAATTTTAATTGCGGTATGCAGTATAAATGAGTATATAAATTATTTACGTGTTAGATAACTCCTTCTTAAATGGAAAATTCTTTCTGATTGCAAAAGCGATCATATATGAACGAAAAAAATCTTTTGACATCACATATTTATGCCTTTCTACTTTACTGATGTACAGATTTAACACAAGTTTAGTCATTATGTATGCAAATCGTTCATTCTGCGCTTTTTTAATGCCTTCTGTTGTAGACATGAAGTTATTATTCGAGAGAATGTTTTCACTTATAATTTTAATATTTTCTGACTTCGATTCCTAGAATTAATAATTATATTAATAAAAAACACAATCGTTATAATGAACACATCCTGAAATTATAAAGCACTTAAGAAGATATCCTTCCATATAAATATTATAAATTTTTAAATTTAAAACACTTACCATGATGTCTTTCCACACAAAAAATCCTTTGTATGTTCCGCATGAGAACTCTCCGTTGCGGACAAAAACAGCAAGTTCCTGAAAATCTCTTGGAACAGACTCAGTTAAAGGACATGTCATAAAAGACATTAACGCCCCACTGTAACCGGATATCAAAACAAGAATCGATAACCACCAAATTCCTATCATGAATCTAGATGCAAACCTTTTCACTTTGTCTAGATTCAGTCCTAAATAAATTGAATAGTATTTTTCTATATTAAACTTAAAATTTGTGTTATGTCATAATTAATGTATTTACCTTTGCCAAGAAATGTACAAACTAAATTCCAAAAAACTGTACATAGAGTCCATCGTTTCCCTGTTCTTGCAGCGATAAAGTCCTTCTCTAGCACTTTATATAGCGTTAGTCCAAATATCAATACAATAGAAAATATAGCTATCCAAACCTGATTACATGAAATAAAACTTTATGTTTGAGTTTTAGTTATAGTTTAACACTTGTTATTGTTACTTACCTTTAAGGTGAAAGGCTTCGTAATAGAATTCCAATCAAAAATCTTATCTGGAGCTTTAATAAGAAAAACTACAGGGTAAAAAGTAAAAACTGACGTGAACTCCATTGCAGAGAAGCGTTCGTAGTTGATGCCTACAGGTACAAAAGCCACATCTGCTTCCTGAATAAAAAAAAATAATTATAAAAGCTATAGTCATAATAAATGTCTTTTAAAATATACATTAATATTGTAAGATAGTAAAGACTGATACTATTTTTTTTTATTTAATCGATCTGAAACTCAATAAATAAATTTTGTGAATATTTTATCTGAAATATATTTAATCTCTATTGAGATTTTGCAGTTATAATGTTTATGTTACTACGTATTAATAATTACCTTTTTATATTATTCTGTAAAAATATTATATACAGTTTATATAGAATGTTCTATTAGTGTTTCTTAAAACTCTTTACCAGAAACTTCAATTAACAAGCAGTGGAACGATTAAGTAATAAATAAATGAGAATTGTCTATAAATTTTCAAGATATGCAGCAGGAAATTAAAAGAGTATTTAGACGTTATACAGTATTTATCGTGGTTAAAAACACATATAAACATTACTACAAACTAAATGCCAGTATACAATACATAAATACAACACAGTTTCGACAACAACAA